TCGCCGCGGGCCCCCAGCCCCGCGCCGGGGGAGAAAGGAGGAGAGGCCGCGGGCCGCTGCCCCGCACGGGCAGCCCCGCACTTCGCTTCCTCGCCAGCCCGTGGGAGGGGAGCGGCGGCGACCTGGCGTCCATTTTCAGCCGCGCTGGGTCCGACGAGCCCGAGGGGCGGGCAGGTGGGCGCGGGCGGCCCGCGGCTCCCGGGGACCCAGAGCCCGCCTGCGGCCTCCGGAGCGGCGGGGCGCCCGGCCAGAGCGGGGACGCCCAGTGGGAACGTGCGCGTGGCGGCGGGGTGGGGGCGTCTCTTTGGTGTCCCCTTTACCAACTCAGCCCTGCCGTGGCCTCCGCGCCGACCTGCACAAAAGGTTCAGCTTGGGCTGCTGGTAGGTAACTTTGAGCCTTCGATCTTTTTCGACCTGGCCGCCCCCCACCCTGTACCCCTACTCTCTGCTCTTTCCAATCCGACCACGAACTGTTCCCGCCGGGCCTGGATTTGAACTTGGCTGAAAGGCCTGCACGCCGCTCCTGTAGAAAGCAGCTCCCTCCCCCCCTCCCCCATTAGCTTTATGGTTATGGGAGTGTCCAAGGAGGTGGACCACGACCATTTTGCGGGTGCTTATAGGCTGAATGACCCCCTAAATGGCCAGAGGACACTGTGGTGAGGGGATGGACTGTTAGTGAAGTCGGGGGCCTGCCGCTTGCTCCCCACTCTCCACGCATCTGTACATTACCGCGCTCGCGTCCAAACCCGGGAGGTCAGCTTTCCACCCGCGTGGTGACCGGCTCCCCACTCGGCCTCCACTCCCGCCAGGGGCTTGGGGCCTAGGCTCTCCGGAGGCCACTTGGGTCGCTGCTTAGGCTGTTTGCGACCTTTGGGCCGAGAGAGATGACCCTCAGCTAATCGATTCTCCCCTCTTGTGTGCCTGCAGGTAAAGTAGAACTGCACGGGAAATTCGTAGAAGTTGAACACTCGGTCCCGAAAAGGCAAAGGTGAGTTTTAGTGTATGGATCCCTGTTCTCGCCGTTCCATCGTTGGGAGGAAAGACTTCCTTGCTACACTGACGGCAAACCATTTCTTTTTCTCCGGTGCATATCCAATTAGAGTGCGATTTGGCTGTTCTAGTCCTTTCCTGTACTTCAGTGTTATGGCCGCGGTGTATGTGTGTGTGTTTGTGTGTGTGCAGTGGTGCTAAGGGGCTTCATTGAATATAGCAGTCTCAAGGAAGCTGAATGTTAGCGTGTAGAGCAAGCCAACTTACTACCATGGGAGAGGAAAGTTTTGAGGCACAGTGTTTTGGGAATCGGAGGCCTATAGCCAGCTGTGAATGACCCGAAGCTTGTTGATACTGGGTGTGTGTGGCAGCTGGCCCTCTCTGATGGAAATGGTTGGTGAGTCCTTGGATGCTTCTGAGAGAAGAATTTGCCTTTATACCAAGTCCTGTTTGTCCACACACACCTCCTCATCTTCCCTGCTTTAGGAACATCTGACTTTCACAACTTACCCTTTAATGTTTTGTAAATGTGCCCCTTTTTTTGGTTGAACCAACCCTGTTTTCCCAACAAATTCTTCACTTGCTGCACGTGCAACTTTTAAGTCATTGAAAAGACCTCCAGCCTTTTCTTGAAAGAATGTAAGGCGAAATAAGAATCATATGCACCTGCTCTGACTTAACGTTTGTTTTAAAGACATAGGAACTGATCTGGTTTGCAACCAGGGACCCAACTGGGTGTTGGCTGCAGGGTTTGGGACAAGAGAATGAATGCTTGGGCTTCTCCACCCGAGAAGCCCTAACTAAAGTGCCTTCAAAGTTATACACGTTTCGGCAAACACCACCTTCGTCTACTGCACCTTCATTAAAGGCATTCATACTTAGAACTCACCACCAAGAGATCTATGTAGCGTCTTGTGTTAACCTAAAAGCGCACACATGTGTGCGTGTGTCTTTATAGAATGGAGACTGTTTTAACTGAGAGTAGTCTGGAGAAATGACTCCTTACTGCAGAGCACTGTAACTCTTAGCTGGAAAGGCACTGTTCCCTCCCATTGGGTTTTGCAAGATGGGGTTACTACTTCCCCCACCCCCACTCCCTGCCTAGGCCAATCAACTCCAAGTTAATTTAAACCAGGGCTGTGTGTGTATCTGGTTAGGCATTGATTTTGTGTGTGTGCGCCTGCGCCCACAGCCCTTGCTCACTTTGCCATGCATTTCTCTGGTGCTTCGCAGAGATAGATGTGTGCCTCTGTTTCTAGGTAATAAGCTCCATTCCAGGAAAGCATTTTCACAAATCATGTTTTGGGTAGAAAACTAGTTTGGATTTTATTGGGTTTTTCTTGTCCGTGTACTTAATTTTCATTAGGGTAATTGGAAAAGGGGTTCATAGAACCTGAATGATTTAGTTCTGGTTGGAGATTTTGGGAGAGTTCAAATTATTCCATGTAGTAACATGTAATTCTTTTTTAGAAAGCTTAAAATAGAATAAGTACAGAAAAGTATCTAAATGCATCTGTTTAATAGGATATGGAAAAGTTGAGGGAGAAGTCCTACCACCTTAAAAAAGGGTATAAAAGCATAGTCCGAATAGTTAACCTGGGAGAAGGTCGGTGGAAGGTTATATTCACATTCAGCAAATTCTAATTGGTTTCCTATTTAGCCAGCATATCTTACTTCTCTTCACATGTTGACTAGAGAACGGTAGTCTACAGCAAGTGGTTGTACTGAGTCTCTGAATTTTACAAAGATGAACTATCTTGAGCTCTTCAGATGTAAGTCACTGATCTGTGTGGCAGTGTAGCTGCCTTTGTCTTGCTCTCCTGCTTTTCCAAGACTTGTGAGTTTCTCCCATGTGTAAGGAGTTAAATTGAAAACATTACTTGGTAACAGTTGACTGTTTTATTCTTAAAGGCTTTGTCCAGTCTGAAAACATACTTGTTCCTTATAACGTATGATCAACAGGCTTTCCTCCTTAGGAAAGCTCATAAGGTAAATTATTAACTGTGACAGCAAGTGCCAAAGGAAGCTTCTTCAATTTATTGACAAGGTGGATTTAGATTTCCTAGCTGAGTTTCACTAGTATTAAGATACTCTGGATTTTAATTGAGTTGACACAGGCAGTCCTTTGGACTTGTGGACATCATAACCAAAGCTGCTCCCTTTGAGTTTCCAAGACTAACTATTTGCGGAAGTAGAAAGCCCCATCTTTCTCTCGAGAGTGGCTGGTAGTTTAGAACTGCTGGCCTTGCGGATCACAGCCCAGCACATAATCACGATGCCAGGGCTCCATACTTGCCCTTTAGTATATCAGTTTACTCTCACAGTTTAACCTTTATCATAATCATGTTCACTTGCTTTTAAATAATTGAAAAGGCTTCCAGTCTCTTCTTGCATTAAAGTAAGGCTAAAATAAACACTGAATGCAGATTCCTACTCACCTACAAATTCTTAAAGAGACTCTCGTGTTCCTAAACTAGTGGTTGTCTATGATCTTACTAGTAAGGTAAATGAAGGTTTAAGTAGATTAGGGACCGCTTCCTTTTTTTTTTTTTTTGGTAATCACACAGTTCTTACCACAATCCATACATCCACCCATTGTGTCAAGCACATTTGTTGCCATCATCGTTTTCAAAACATTTTATTTCTACTTGAGCCCTTGATATCAGCTCCTCTTTTTTTTTTTTAATGGAGAGAACAACTTAGGAAATTGTTGTTTCTAAAATGATTCAAAACATAAGCAGAGCCAAGTCATTTACCTTTGCTTGGGAAAACTTGGTGGAAATACAAGTTGAAAGTTTGTTTGAACCGAACCTGCAGTTGTGATGCACTTTCTCTTTCTCTGGACTGTTTCACTTTGCCTGGACTCTTGGAAAGGGGAGACTCCCAGGCCCTGTGTCTGTGGGAAGGTGGAGTTACCAGGACTGGGGATGGTTACCATAATGGAGTTAAGTACTGTGGCCAAAAGAGCCTGCTGGACACTGGGGTGGCTTTGTTTAGCAGGCATTGCATTCCATCCCATCCTCATGTGGGCATCTGAGGCAGGTACACGTACTCCCATGGTGCAGCAGTGATCTTTATACCTGCTGTGCAAGGCATGTTGGGAACTGGATGCTGGAGAATGCTTATGGCAGCATTCCGAGATGGATGAATGGGCTTGCAGCGACTAAACCGGGGAGCAGTCCCAGAAGGTGATTAGATGCTTGGCAGGCTGGGCTAGCTCTGACAGTGAGTGGAGCTGGGCGGGGACCCTCTCAGGAAGGGGCGTTGTTGAGTTTGGTTCTGACCCAGCTTGGCTCCTGATTACTGAAGTCTCCAGGGAATGTGGAAGGAATGTTGCTTTTCTGCATTCAGACACCCCTCAGTCAGGGACGATTATTGCAGTTCTCTGCAAATCCTGAGGGCTCCTGCATGTGGAATGAAGAGAAGATTAACTTTGGGAATCTTGATAGAGTGGCACTAAAGAAAAAAGATGCAGCACAGAAAGAATTGGCTGCGCTCTGAGGTATATGCTTAAAAAAAACAAAAACCCTCAGGGTAGGAGTGGGTGCGGAAATAGTTGTGACTTTGAAGACTGAGCTGTGTTTGGTGGGAAGAGCGGTCGCAGTCCCTCTGTGATTGTGTAAGTGGACGTGGTGTCTTTGGTGGTGTGGGCGCTCTGGGCCTGGGGACAGGAACAAGAAAGTGACTGATGTTGCAAAGCTGAGAGGATGATGGTGTTTGTTCCTTTTCCACTTTTCTCTTTTAAAATTAGGAAAATAACTTGTCATACTTTTTTAGATTTATTTTTCCCCTCCAGCATAGCTATTTTTCCTTAAGATTAGCCGATAAATTTGATTAGGATTTTATGTGGCTAAAAATGCTTAAATGAAGGAGAAAAGATAGGTTGTTGTAGTTATTTGATAATTTTTTCAGAAAGGCTTCTTTAAAATAGATTGGTGCCTAAGCCCAAATGTCTTTGTTTTTTGCCTCCTACCCAAAAAAAAAAGAACAGCTAGTTTACATACTTGATAGGTACATTGTATAGCTCAATGGCACGTATAAAAGTTGCTGGGGTTTGAGGTGCATCTTACTCTTACGTGGCTATTTAAAGGCTAAAAACCCTGGTGCCACAGTGGTTAAGCACTTGACTGCTGTGGGGATCTCCCGGGAGAAAGTTGTGTCAGTCTGTTTCCCTCCAGATTTACAGCCTTGGGAACTCAGTGGGCAACCCCGCTCTCCTGTATCCATCTGTAAGAAGAGACTCTGGCACCTGGTTTGGGTTGGGTTGGTTTTAAATGTTGCATGCTCATAGAGTAGGACAGCAGCTGAGGACCAGCCCTGGGTATTTTCTGGTGCTGAACCGCACGGGGATGAGTAGCTGTGCTGCCCCTTGTTCCGGGGTGCAGTACAGGTGAATGGTGTGCACTGGGGCTCTTATACATAGATTCGTGGTTCTGAATGTTAGCCCCCTTTCATGGCCGGTGAAATTCAGGACTGCAAATGACATGGTTGTAGCCAGGAGTTTATTTCTTGATCCCCCTCTTTTTCTCAGTACTGTAGGTGATAGGTACACATAAGTAGTTTTTCTTACTTTGGCCTTATTTTAAAAGTAGTCCAGTGTTCCGTTGTATAGGCTACGGGACTCCCCGCTGGAAGCTAGAGGGAAGATGTGATGGAAATCTGACATGTGCTTGGAGCCTAAGGCAGTGGGAATTGAGAATCCTGGCTTTCCTGTTGATTCATGTGACCACTTAGCCTGCCAGATCAAGCCAAATCCCATTATAATAAACTACAAAGGGCATTTTTTTGTTTGTTTTGAATTTTTGTCATTCTGCTGGAAATAAATGGGCTATCAAAGTCTAGATTTAAAATCTCTTGTTGGACTTGCAGAGCTCTGGGGTTTTCCCTTTAAGAAACCTGGGCTTCTTTTCTGTAGTATGGTAGTTGCTTTGTATTGTAGTATTGAGTTGCTTTTGCACGTGGACCCCTTTTGGGGTGTCATTAAGGAGGACATGATCT